GCCGTTGACCTTCCTTGCCATATGAGGTAGAGCCGGGTATCGTCTTGGACATTCGCACAACTCCCCCTCAGGGGGGGGCGCAGCGCCCTCCGCTGCACTGCTCACTGTTGATGTCCCCGCGGTGGCTCTGTCCTCGCCGTCGGAGTTCGACTCCGTAGGGCCAGTAACTTATATTATGTATAAATAAGTATATGACGTATGACATATGTCATATAACTTATTTATAAAACATGAAATATAAAGGTATTTTTGGTTTTTGTATGTATCATTTGTAAAAAAATCTTGATAAAAGAAACAACATTAATTTTGTGATTTGCAATAATCTGTTTTAATATATAACATTAATTTTGTGATTTGCAATAATTTGTTTCAATATATACTTTTAAATACTTACAATTAGCCTTATTTTATGCGCTTACTTTGGTATCTAAAATACACATCAAAATATAAAATTTATTTCTATCACAGTAGAAAAGAAATATGTTATAATATATGTTATTATATATATTATTATATATGATGTTTAATTTTAACAGTTTTTATTGGACTGTACTTTAGACAATATTATATTTTGTCATTTCTCTCTGTTATAAGATATAATGTTTCTTTTCTACTGTGACAGAAATAAGGCATAAAATAAGGCTAATTTTAAATATTTGAAAGAAGCATATATTGAAACAGATTATTGCAAGTCGCAAAATTAATGTTGTTTCTTTTATCAAGATTTTTTTACAAATAATAGACACAAAAAATTAAAAATATTTTTATATTTCATGCTTTAGAAATAAAAAATGTGGCATATATCATATACATTTCTTGTAAAAACAGTATACAAAATGGTGTTAATTTTTTATATAGATATTTTGATATAAATATAGATAATATAGAGTACATAATATACAGGGTGATTCAAAATAACCTGATGTCCTTGCAATGCCATATTCTTGAGCAAATTCTGAGACGATTTTTCCTTTTACAAAATTTTGTCCGAAGCTTAGTTTTCGAGTTATAATTGAAAATAGGTAGCAACTTACGAGTTCGGTACAACGGGCAGCAGGGACGCGCAACGTATAATGAGACTATCAAGTGTTTATTATCGTCTCATGACGCATTGCACCGTCCCTGCCTGTCCATTGTATCGGACTCGTAAGTAGCAAACTATTTTCAATTAGAACTCGAAAACTAAGCTTTAGACAAAATTTTGTAAAAGGAAAAATCGTCTCAGAATTCGCTCAAGAATATGGCATTGCAAGGACATCAGGTTATTTTGAATCACCCTGTATATATAAAGCATATGACGTGAAAGCACATGATGTGAAAATATTTTACAATAAAGAATAAGACAAGCCAGAAGCGATCTAACGTGTGCTGGCGATGTAGAATTAGAAAAGTCAGAGGCGATCTAACGTGTGCTGGCGATGTAAAATTAGAAAAAAGTCAGAAGCGGTCTACCCCCCGTGAGCTGACAATTTTTAATAAATATAGTCGGAGGCGATCTAACGTCAGCTGACAGTTTAGAAAAAAGAGAGCCAAAGACGATTTATTCGTGAGCTGGCAAATTGTAAGAAATATTGTCAAAGGCGATCTATCGTGAGCTTGTAAATTTTAAGAAAT